TAAAGCTATCTAACACATCTATTTTCTCTGTAAGGCATGCCACTCCCACCTTAAACATAAGAATACTAAACAGCACTTCAGCACTATCTTTAGGGACCATTTTAAACAGCAAAATAATGGACAGAAATCACCCAAAATGTGAAAGCAAATAGACTGCCTCTTGTGAAGGTCAAGCTTACATAGTTGAGCTTTGCTAGCTTCATAATATTGTTTATGGCATGACATGTATGCACACTCCCTTGTTACAAACATTAAACAGATTTGTCAACAAGTGGTGGCAAAATAATTATAATTTATTATGTAGAAGAGGAAAAATTGGATGGTTTACTCCGTTGATTGACACATAGAATAACTCTATGCCCTGCTCATTGCCTTTTATTACAACAAAACAAAGTATACAACAACAGAATTACAATTCTGTATCTGTCAATGAGAATTTATTCACTTTGTATACTTTGTATTAATTTTCAGCTCTAACATAGTTATTTAAAAGTTAAGCAAGTATAATAGTGATCTGAGATATTCTGAGGCAACAAGAATCATATTAGTTTTGTGGCAAGAATCATATTAGTTTTTTAGTGATATATTTTGTTAGATGAATAGAATTTTTAAAATTTTACCTGTAATTTTCATTTTTACAGAGTATTACTATTTCCTGAATTTATTTACATATTCTCAATGGGACCCTAAATATTTATTTAAAACAAGTCAGGAAAAAATATAATAGAATTTCTTTCCAAATTGTACCAAACTTTTCATTTTCCTACAAGGAAGGGAGAGTGCAGATAGAATAATCAATTGATCATGAGACTGTGCCAAGTACACATTATATCCAAATGCACAAGTGTACATGAACTGTAGAGTACAAAAACAGGGCCCCCAATCTATGAAAACATATCTCCCCCCCCAAATTAGTTTTAAGTCCAAAGTTTTTAAAAATAATTTATTGCCATTATTTTAATGTACTGGAATCTGCCTTCAATGTTTTCAAAGGCTTTAAAATTTTTTTTTCAAATTGTGTTAATAATCATGATAATTACATTTGGCAATAATAGTTTTCTTTCGCTTATTTGTCATACACTAAATCTGATAAGGAAGAAAGTATCTGGGAACTTCTTAACTTTTCTAATGTTATTTTGGATTACAAAATCTTAGTGAGGTGAGTATTGCATATTTAGTGAATCACTCTGCACCAGCTAGAAAGACAGATGGGTATTGTGCAGTTAAAAAATCTGCAAATAGGACAGATGGGTGGTTTAAATATTTTAAATGTCTCCATGAAAATGTTTCTGTGGAGAGTGTGACTCTTCAAGTTACATGCTAAAAAATCCTAGTAACAATTAGGAATAATAGAGTTCATATAAAAAGCAATAGTTTTTTTTAAAAAACATCATTTATGAAATTCATTGAATTCACTAGTTATACCTTTTAAACTTACAATAAAATTTAAAAAAATATATCTTCAAAATTTAAAAAATGGGTTATGCATCCTATATATATTACAGATGTTCCTTTCCCCCTTCATTGATCCCCTCCTTCCTACTCTTGCCTCTTCTCAGGCCTTCACCACACTATTTTCTGTGTCCATGGGTTATGCATCCTATATAATAAAAGGCTAATATGCAAATAGACCAAATGGCGGAATGACCGGTGGCTATGACGTGTACTGAATACCAGGGGGCAGATGCTCAATGCAGGAGCTGCCCCTGGTGGTCAGTGCGCTCCCACAGGGGGAGTGCTGCTGAGCCAGAAGCCCTGAGCCAGGCTCACAGCTGGCAAGCACAGTGGTGGTGGCAGGAGCCTCTCCCGCCTCTGCGGCAGTGCTAAGGATGTCCAACTGCCAGTTTAGGCCCACTCCTAAGCTGTCAGTTGGACATCCCCCGAGGGCTTCCAGACTGTGAGAGGGCTCAGGCTGGGCTGAGGGACCCCCCTGAGTGCACAAATTTTGTGCACAGGGCCTCTAGTATATGTATATTAGTTTTAATGAAATTTAAGAAATTAGAACACAACACTGGAAATTCTGTCCTGGTATATGCTTGCTTTATTATTATGAACATTTGGACTCTAGAAGATTTTTTTATTATTTGAAATCAATTTATCTGTATAAGTGCAATGATCTTTTGAACTTTTGTCAGAATTAGTTGAATTTCAAGTGACAGAAACTTAAAGTAGCTTAAAATGATAAACCAATAAAAACAACAACAAACTACCGCACATAAAAAAATCCACTTTAAAGGAAAGGGTCTTAGAAAGGGCTTTGGCAGCTTCTCTAGTAGGTGTTCAGGGACTTTCACTCTTTTCAGGCATTAATGTGACTTAGCTCCCAGCCAAAGGGCTGGTTTCTTTTTGGTCAGGTATGCACTTTGGATCTTGGACGTCAGCTTACAATAGAAGTCTCCTCCTGACTTGTGTGGATAGGGAGAAAAAGGGGTTGTCATTTTCAAGGAAGGACGTGGGACTGGCCATAGATGTATCAATGGCATTGACTCTTGGGGATTTTTTGAAATGTATTTCTGCAGGAAGGATGCTAAGTAGCAATGTTTATGGGTAAATACAGTATTCTATGACAAAACAATTATAGTAACTAACAGTAGGGGAAGGTATTCCTGAGGACATTAAAAGTTATGTGTGATTAGTATTATTGAAGTGATTTATTAATTGCTAAATTAAAAAAAATATCCCTACTGTAATATAGAGTGAGTTAAAACTTCTGTAGCAATTTATATTAACTGAGGCAAAAAAATTTATTTGTTTCGGAATGAACATTAAACAAATTTTAAGATCCTATATAATAAAGAGTTAATATGCTAATTAGACCAAACAGCAGAACGACCATCTGGATGACCTTCCGGACAAAGCCAGGGCTGTGAGGGCCGGCCCTTTGCATGAATTCTGTGCATCGGGCCTCTAGTTAAAATATAATAGAATAAAAAAATCACATAGCATTCTTTATATAGTAAAGGGGATGAATTATTTCATGAATTCTTATCTCAGTTATATTTAAAACTTTGTATGATTATTTACTGGTTAATGAAATAAAATGTATTATCCAAATATATTAATCCTGTGGGTCATTCATGGCTTAAAAGTGAGAAAACCCACTACTTTAGGGGCTAATGTTATTTTTTTTCCTGATTCCTTCAGATAGAACTGAATTAATATGTTTGCTCTTATTCCCCTATTCCCGAGTGGGAACCTCTTTCCAGTTAGCAGTGAGAGGAGTTAGGGAGATGCCCTAGTGATTGCATTATTTTATAATCAAGAAATTATGTCATAAAGTTAAACAAGTGATCTAGGGCAACATTTTTTGAATAACTTGAGCATTTATTAATAGCACCATGTGCGTGAACATCTAGTGGAGCGTGGTTAGAGATTCATGCTCTGTAAAAGAATGATGGGCAGCTCCCTAGGAGACGTGAGTGGTGGTTCTAGTACTTGGAAGCACTGTAATTTGTTGGTAAGAGACATGTTAGTCTGCTAGAAAGCTTTGTTTCCTTTCCCACTAGCTGGATGTAGTGACTGCCTCAGAATTAGAGTGGTGATGAGAAAATCAAGGGAATTCTTCTGTTGTTCTACCTGGGCATGATTTAGGGGTCTGAGGTCTCATCTCTGCAAAAACCCTGACTTTTTCCTCTGCTTTTGGCTCTGAGCTGGAGATATTCTCCAACAGGGAATGTTTTTCTGATCCCTAAACACAGGGAATACTCAGATAGGTGCTGAGCCTAACCAGAGTGGCCGCAGAGGAGAGCCTCTGGTCTTGGAAATTCTCACCGTAAGATCTATTTTGGGGAGAGGATTCATTTGGAGGACTCTCCTTGGAAAGAGAGCAAAAATTCATAAATATTTTGAAAAGTTTATTCCATAAATGTATGTAATTGGCAAGAAATACTTGTTTGATTTACATAAAAATTAAAGATATACTTAAAATTTTTATTTATATAGTTATGTATTCATATTATCCATCTGTAAATATTTTCTGAATAGTTTTAGTAAAGGAACCACAAAAAGTTTTGGTTCATAATATTAGCATTATCTCCTAGACTTGTCCTACATCAAGTCTTAATTTCTGTGCTTTGATTTTCAAGTCTTTCACAGCCTAAAATTGCCCTATTTATACAGATATATTTTCTTCATTTCCTCAAAATTTGCTCTCTTTGAGCTTATTTCTTTGCCTACCTAGGTGCAATTGCTTATTTCTATGTTTTCACTTAGTAGCCGAAATCACCAGACCATGGGCTTTATGTCAAGGACTCTGCTTTGCTGAATACTGAGTTCCCAGTGTTTATCACAATTCTCAGTGATAATCAGTTAATAATATTCATTGAATGAAAGGAAGGAAGAGAGACAGTGGGGTGTGAGGGCATGTGTTGGGGGGTGGGAGCGGCCAGGGAGAAGTCTATGGGGGAAAAAGGAGACATATAGAATACTTTCAACAATAAAGAATTTAAATTAAGGAAGGAAGGGAGGGGGGAAGGAAGGAAGGAAGGAAAGGAAGGAAGGGGAAAGAGAGGGAGGAACTATTGTCTATTTTGGCTTTCTTTTTACCTTTCTAGACTTGTCTCATCTTTTAAGGTCTGTTTTCTCCACAAAGTGTCCCTTGACTTCCCTTGTCTTTGTCACTATCTCAAACATAGACCTCAAAATTTAACATTTATAAAATTGCTTATTTTCTTGGTGGTACAGTTTTATGCGCACTGTTGTTCCAATTTGGTGTAAGCTGCTTGAACATGAGAGGGATCATATATCTGTACAGTTTTACAAATAAATTGTACATTATCCTTCACTCACCAGTTACTGCAGTGCATGCCTCCTTCAGAGCGGCCTCTATCCAAAGTATTGGCAAATAGCATAGAGCTAAGCACATAGTGTATGTTCAACAAACTTTTGATTAGCCATAAAATGAGTGAAATAGCATAAAATAGTGGTGGCTCTGTTTGCACACAGAGAAGATAAAACTTTTTTATTATCTCTCTTATAACTGTCTTCAATGATTTCTCCAGGGAAAGAAACCGAAAAGGCCAAGGAGCGTTACGACAAAGCCACAATGAAACTTCATGTGTTGCATAATCAGTATGTATTGGCGTTGAAAGGGGCACAGCTTCATCAGAATCAGTATTATGACACCACCCTTCCTCTGCTTCTGGACTCCTTACAGACGATGCAAGAAGAAATGATAAAAGCACTGTAAGTTACCTTTCGTATTTGACATAGAATCCTGTCATAAAATGATGTTAACGTTAGTTGCTCTCCTACTTAAGGTTTTATGTAAAAGTTGTCTGTGTTTTGTGAGTTTTCTTATCGACCCAGACCCATGGGTGTTTCAGACTTGTTTTTCCTCGATTCTTCTTGATTTGCACTTCTGGTATCCCTTTAGTTTATGCTTCTCTCCTAAACTTCTAGCCAGCCCCAAGGATTTCCCTTCTCGTTTTTTTATATGTTTTTGTTTTGCTCCAATTAAGTGGAAATTTATATGAAAAAAAATTCAATACTTAACAAGTATTAAGAAGTAGATATCTGTCTCCACAGGGCTGGGATTTTAAAGTTTGAGCAATAGAAAAGACTGAAGGAAAGATTTTTTGAAGGTTTATTTGCTATATTCTTGTTGTATGAGATTAAAATCAACCAATATTTATGAGATTTCTAATGCCTGCAAAGCACATTGAATATAGAGATGAGTAGGCCACAGTGTTTGCCATCAAGGAGCTAACAGAATATTTTGGTTAAATGCACACATGTGTGCCGTACATAGCGATTTAAGACAGTAGAAAAATGTAAGCCACCCTTTGGTAGACTTCATCTTTCTTATTAGCTGGGTTAGGTGATCCCAAGAAGATAAAGTGTTTTTCGTCAACATAAATATGTATACTTTTAAGGTTGTTAATGAAAATAATGAAATCTCTACTTAAAACATTAAATGAATAAATTTAGTTACATCTACTTTAAATTACATATTGTTTATTCAGAAATATTTATTTTTCCTATTCTCCATTTAATGAATCAATATTTTTCAAACTTTTCACATGAATCTTTAATAATATTATTTTCATCATCACTAGGACATATTTTTAAGACATATAATGGTTTCCCACAGCATATTATCTTTACTTGCTAAGAAATTGTTTCAGATCTAGCATTTAAAAAATCCAACCATCATGGTATCACTGAAATTGAAACCCGTGTCACAAGTACTCATTCATATAATGTTAGGAGACTTCATGCCCCCTCTCCATTTGTCTTAAAGGTAAATATTAATGATTTCTACATCGTAACGACTTAATGTATTGCTTTATAAGGTATCTAGATAGACTTATTTACATTTGTATCATTCAGTACTTTGAATTATTATTAGTCGTATCCTCAGGGATACTTACTAAATCCTTATTAAATTTCTCTGTCTCCCCATTTTACAAAATTGTATATATCAGGTTATTTTTGTAATCATTCCAAACTAGCATTGCTTGAAGCAGGTTAAGTCTAATTTTTCTTTGCCCAAACATTATTTTGCTATTTAAAATAAAATAACTGAGAGAATATTTCATAATAAGAGAAATTTGGTAATGATTTTGGAAAAGAAAAACAGAATATCTTATTTTATTTGGGAATATGCAGGACAAACTTGTCTGCCTATACTCATTGCTGAGGCCAGTAATGACCAATGCTATAGTATTCTCAAGTTGGGATCAGGTCTTTGCAACAGAATAGTTTTTCCTTTTGCATTTATTAGGTAATGCTAAAAAATTATGACATTTTTGCTACTGAGTGGAGGCCAGGAGAAGATATCTAGATGTCATTGAAGTTAGAAGAGCAGAGGCCCAGGAGCAAGAGAAGACCCAAGTGGCAGGGCATATGAGGAAGTTGCAGATACTAGAAAGACACATTATAGAGACTGTTGTGGACCCACAGCTCCATGTTATGGAATCCAACATTTCTATGATAATGTTGAGAAACATAAAGCGATCAACACTGAGCTTACATTTAGACACCTCAAATACAGGTTGGAGAAGGTACATAAATCTACCATCTGTAAATATTGATATCACATTTCTTATTTGGTTATTCTGAATCCTTTTTGGTTCTATGTTTTCTTGATAAACTTTAAAATGTTGTAAAATTCTATTTTTGTTTTCAGAAAAAGCATATTTGATGAATACAGCCAGATAACTAGTCTTGTTACGGAGGAAATAGTGAATGTCCATAAAGAGATTCAAATGTCAGTTGAGCAGATAGACCCTAGCACAGAATACAATAATTTTATAGATGTTCACAGGTATGTATGATATTTTCATTCTTCTTTCAGTATTGATGGCAGTATTATTTTTTATATCATATAATATTTACCTAAGTTGAAATAAGAGATATTGATGAGCTTGTTAGGACATTAGATATTTCAGATTAATTTGTCTCCTTTTAATTACTTTCAAAGTCCTTTCTCCAAGATTATAACTATATATATAGTGATCTTTAAAAGTTTTAGGGTTGTCACTAGTATATCATTTCTTAAGCCTGTACTTAATCCATGAAAATGTATTTTCTTTTTAATATTTCTATAGTAATAATCTATGACTTTGTGTATTAAATTTTATACTGTACCAATTACTTCTCCATGCATTCATCATCTTATTTTATACTCATTACCATTATGACAGGAGTAAAACCACTTAATATCCGCATTCTATAAATGAGGAAATTAAGGCTGAAATTACATGACTAGATCTTTGCTGCCTGGGGTTTAATGTGATTTATTTTATTGATGTTTACTTTGTGAATGTAGTTTTTGATGAGAAAATATATTCTGCCTTTGGTATGTAGTAAGATATATCATGATAGGCTATTCATATTAATCAAAATGATTTGGCATACTTTACTAGAACATCAGCTGCTAAAGAGCAAGAAGTTGAGTTTGATACTTCCTTACTAGAAGAAAATGAAAATCTTCAGGCAAATGAGATTATGTGGAATAATTTAACAGCAGAAAGTTTGCAAGTAAAGTAAGTATTTGCAAAACCTGAACACTTAAATATTACTATTTTTATTTATAGTTGTACATTCTGAGATTTAAAATCCCAAGTTTTATTTTTTGCAAGCAATGAAAAGTAAATTAAAAATAAACTATCCGGCTAGTGTTGCTCAGTGGTTGAGTGTCAACCTGTGAACCAGAATGTCACTGTTCAATTCCCAGGCAAGGCACATGCCTGGGTTGTGAGCTCAATTCCCAGTGAGGGGTGTGCAGGAAGCAGCCAATCAATGATACTCTCTCATCATTGATGCTTCTGTCTCTCTCTCCTTTTCCCTTCCTCTCTGAAATCAATAAAAACATATTTTAAAAACAGTAATAAATAAACTGATTGTTATTTGGTCAGAATGAAATGTTTTGAGAAATATGTTAACTTGTACTCATTATTCACTAATTAATTATGGTAATTCCAAAAATTAAAATTCTGTGCAATGTATTCATTCAGTTATTGCTAATATCTTATATTGGAATAATACTTTATTCTTTTCAAAACTTATTTTTTTAAACCCATTTTTTTCTCAGAATTCACTGGCAGAACTATTTTGGAAATGAAGACATACATGAGTGTTTTGTGATAACAGACTTGTAGATGTCAGCAGCATTTAGTACAACACTTTGACTTTTAATTGAGTTCCCTTTAAACTGGGATGTCTTCTATTAAAGGCTAGTAAAAGAGTTCTTTCTCCACTTTGTTGTTACTATTTCATAAAATTTTAAGGAGTTTTGAGAAATCTTAATGTGTTTTTTTAGTCCTTTCCAAATGTTAAAGCCTGTTAATAGTACATTTTTTAATTTAGAAAATATAATTAAGCCATTCTACTCTTATATATTTAATCTACCTCTTGATTTTGTCAGGAGCAACACAAAGAAACATATCTATTAATAAGCACTATATGTACTTGTTTCTGTGCCAGAACTACAACTAGAAATGATTATGTACTCAATTGGTTTTTAATATTGGGCATGTTATATCATCTGACCTGTTGGAAGTTTATCTCAAAAGTGTCAGCCAAAAGTCTCCATCTAATACAATTAAACAGTCTCCTTTCTATGTTCAGTAAAAGTGTTGTAGAACTGAATGGGATTGAAGAAACTAACAATGCTTGTCACTTGTATAAGATGAAGGCTTAGTAATCATGGTGGACTGACTATTGCTGAGAGAAATGGAGGCATGGGGTACCTGCGTTAGAAGGTTTTTCCTAGCAGCTATATTGGGATTCTTGAAGATGTGTCCCAAGTTTTGAAGCCCTTCCTAATAGTTTCACTTCGGTTTTAGATACATAGTTGCAATGTCAGTTATCTGTAAACCAGTGGTTCTCAACCTGGGTGAGTTTTGTCTCCAGGAGAAATTTGACAATAAATATCTGGAGACATTTTTGTTTATCAGGTGGGAAAGTGTTACTGGTATCTATGTAGTGGGTAGAAACCATGAATGCTGCTGAACATTCTTCAGTTACAGAACTGCCTCCTACAGCAAAGAATTACCTGGTGAAAATGTCTATAGTGTCAAGGTTGAGTAACTCTGCTCTAAACAATAAAGTTAAATGGTGGTAGGGTTTCTCAATTCTAGTGACAAATTCAATTTCTTAATTCCTGTGCTGCTTGGTGAAGGAATATGACATAAATCACTCCTGTTATTTTAACTATTACATTGCTCCCAAATAATTTATTCATCAAAAATATATTTACTGTGGACATATACAATAGTGTGGTAGGCCTGGGGGGGTGGTGGTAGGTGTGGGGTGGAGGGGGTCAGTGATGGAAAAAAATGGGACACCTATAATACTTTCAACAATAAAGATGAGTTAAATATGTGTATATATATATATTTGTATATACATATACTTATTGTATATTTAAGTTTGCAAGGGTTAATCCTTTCAAGGATTTCATACTAAAACTAGAGGCCTGGTGCATGAGATTCATGCACTGGGGGCGGGGAGGGTGTCCCTCAGCCCAACCTGTGTCCTCTCGCAGTCCGGGAGCCCTCGGAGGATGTCCAACTGACAGCTTAGGCCCAGAGGCTGAAGAGGCTCCCACTACCACTGCTGAACTCGCCAGCCTTGAACCCTGTGGGAGCATACTGACCACCAGGGGGCAGCTCCTGCATTAAGTGTCTGCCCCCTGGCGGTCAGTGTGCATCATAGTGGCTGGTCATTCTGCCATTCAATCAATTTGCAAGTTAGGGTTTTATTATATAGGATGGATCAATTTATTTTAATAATCACCAAGAAAGAATGAGCATGGAAAATAATACAATAAATAAAAAATAATCATACCCTATGCCTTTTCTTTCCTGAAGCATTAATTTATTAATTTTGTTGATTGGGTTGAAATATTATGTCCAATAGAAATGAACAAAACAAGTCGATAGTTTGTGAAAAATAAATTCAAATGACCAGTAATTCTGTGGCAATTAAATATATAGTATATATATTTTTTAAAAAGAAGCTATTTCACCTACCAGATTGGCAAGGATTTAATAATTTGATAATACCCAGTGTTGTGTAGGTTATGGAGGAATAAGCTCTCATGAAGTCTTGGCAGAAATGAAAACTAGTGTAACCTATTTGGAGGATAATTTGGTAATATATATAAAAATTTAACTTGCACATACACTTTGACTCAGGAATTCTACTTCTAGAACTTTAACCTACAAATATGCAAAGATATGTATGTCTGTAGCCATAATATGGTGGGTTGCCTTAGGTCTGAATCCTGACAGTATAAGTTTATTATCTTTGTGAAACTGGACAGATTACTTAATTCCTTTATGCCTCATTTTCCTTAAATGTAAAATGGTAACAATGGCATCCAGCTCATAGTGTTAACATTCTATGAATAAATGTGGAATGAATGGAATATTCCTTGGCACATGGTACAGTTTATGTATTATTTTTTGTTTTATTACTACTTACATTAAGGACTGTAAGCACAATGCTTAGGTTTTACAGAGGCCTTTGGAAATATTCGATATCTGAAAATTTTTTGTTAGTTCCATGATATGAAAAGAAAACTACTGCAAGGTATAATATATCACTTCATTAATTATTAAATTCAGATTACACAAAAATATTTCAAACAATTCGTAGGTTACATTTTCTCACTTTTAATATCTGCATATGAATGAAGGTATCTAAGAAATCACTTTTTAATATATATGATATTATTTGAATAGAGGCTAAGGACTAGAAAGATCTCAAACAGTCCTTTTATTTGAGCAAAACACTGGAAACACCCTAAATAGTCATCAGTAAAGATTTGGTTAAATGAATTTTAGTATATCCATAATTTTCCCATTATGTAGGTTTTAAATAAAATAAGATAGGTTTATATGTATGCTTATATGGAAAGATATCTGAAGTATATGATAAAGAGCAAAAACAAGTTATAGAATAATATTTATGGTGTGAGCCTATTAATAAAAACTGGTACATATATGTATGTTTGTATATACATAGGCTATATCTTGAAATAGAGGAGAATGGATGGGGTAAGTAGGGCAGCATGTTGGGGCAAATATTGATAATGTTAAATAAATATGGTTTTATTTCTCATCTCTTTGTTTTTTTTAATATATATTTTATTGATTTTTTACAGAGAGGAAGGGAGAAGGAGAGGGATAGAGAGTTAGAAACATCAATGAGCGAGAGACATGGA